TAATATATAATTTATGTTTTTGGGATGGGTTGAAATTTTTTTCTGACTGTTACAGTTTTAAAACGACTAAACAATCAGTATTCAGTCAATATGRTTAGTCGTAATTCGTGTACATAGATTAAGAGGATCATTAAGATTTAACGTAGCCAATAACAGTGACCACGAAAAAACATAATATAATAAATTATGATTCAATGTTTTCCGTTTGAGTGAAAAAAATTTTTTAAGAATAAAATATTTTCATACGGAATATAATTGAATTAAATTAATGTTGTAAAAAAAATTCATATTAATTTAAGCCAGCAAAACGCAACACGATCGACTATGGTGGTAAAATATCCTTTAACATCCTGTTGCACACMTGCTATACTACTGTAATAAACTGTTATAGTAAATTATGTATATGTGTTCAAGTAACCATTAAACACATCCTCATCGATTGCCGAACATATCTCAATACCCCAACAAGCTTCAACCTGCCCGAATCATCACTTTCAGAAATATTAAACAACAATCCTCAATCCATTACCAACATCATACAATTCATCACAGCCGCCAATCTTCTAACCAAAATTTAGTATAATTTAGATATAGATACAATTCATGTAATTTTTTTCTTTTTATATATATTTCTCACTTTAAACCCAATGGACTATGTTGCCGAGGGTATCATTAATAAGAAAAAAAAATTATTTATATGATAATTATATGATATCAGTACCTATACTCATGTACGACTATAGACGGCTTAGTAACCACAAGTACCTAGGTCATAGATGGGTTTTCCTATATTATTGCTGTAATCCCTGCAGTGACGAATGGTATCTTAATATATTATGTTATGCTATTGTTTCACACACGCAGTGTTATCGTCACGAGGGGGTCATAAGACATAATTGCCGAACGAGCATACAGTCACTGTCTTTACACGCGGCAGCTGATATCTCGATGAATTCATTACGTTATTGTAATATTACAAGTATGTGCCCGTCCAACGGGACATTGTGCTCATAACATTGCTGCAGTGTTCCATAATGGTTATAGGTAGTTATGCTTAAGTGTAATGCACGGAAATTCGTTAACATCCATTAAACATGCACCGCGTTGTAAGATTATAAGAAAAAAAAAAATTATGATATAATCATCGTGAATCGGTACGAATTTATAATATTATTTTACTCTGAAACACTATAGTATGATAAAACTACTGCAGCAGCAAGTAATTGATAACATATTTATAATATCAAATTCAAATCGTATCAAACTGACTTTGGTGTTAGATAAAATCAATTTTAAGGACTAAAATTTGATGCAATTTATCAATATACTGATTAAATGTGTGATGAATTATTTATCTAAATTATA